TTTTTAACCAAACACGTGCACAGTTAACGCCCTATTCTACTCTATGTGACGTATGCAGCTCAGAAACTGAATAAATAAATTCAATTACGCAGTCATTATTGAGAAGCTAATAGTCGCTTAACCAATCAAGAAATTTCCAGTCTTTATACGTTAAACAGATCCGTTACCATGTTCACAAGTTCACACCAATTAAACCTCTCCTGAGTTGGTTGAATTAAGTCAACTGCCTCAAGCCCCATTTCTTTAATATCTACTTTAATATCATTCTCACTCTTACTGAGGTACTGTCTTCCATTCAGGTACCCCGGCTAAGTTTTGTAAATATTTATTTCCTCAATGCCAGCTACATGCCCTGTCCATCTCATCCTCCTTTTAACTAAATACGGGTAGGCGGTTGTCTAGGCATGGTATCCAAAAAGCGGTCATCCTAATTCACTGGTGCCAACTGCTGTGTTACTCAACGAAGGGCGGAAGGGCCTGAAAATCACGCGATGCTGCAAAATGGAAATCAATTCCCGCTTGATGATGTGTAACGAGGAAATCCCTGCTTAGGATTCATCGTATTTGCGTGATTGAATCTTGGTCGGGGAGAATGATCGGTCAAATGCATTAACACGAGGAAAATACAGTACTCTGCCAGAGTAGTCGAGGCGCAATGTAACATTTACATGTTTTAACTGTCAGTTCACAAATTTATGCCCATTCGAGCTTCTATTTAGCGTTCTGCAGACTTTTTGGACGACAAATCTAAAGGGAAGAGAGAGCTTTTACAAATTAGATGTAAATGGGACTGTAATGTTAAAAATAATTCTAGAGAAATAGGGATTTGAGTGAAATGGTTCAGGAGGAGTGCCAATGGCTGAGTTTTGTCGTTCCATAAAATTGCTCAACCAGGTAAATAACTATCAACGTTGGAATGTAAGAGGAAAGGCTAAGTTTCTAGTTGAAGGAATAGCTTTTGCGTAACTGTGAAGAGCCATTAGATGGAGTTATATTACGCTGCGTTCCCCAAAACCCGGTGTTAGACGGACACTGTGTTTAGTACATAAAAATAAGGAAGTTAATGAATTCCCAAATCATAAATGGCATACTGCACCACTGCCTGACCAAACGGGGCAATACGAGAAAAATGTTCCGACTTCATTTACTCGTAATTTAAAGAAACTGGTTTCATACATTTTAGGAATTTGTGCAAAATAAAGATGGCTGTCTTCTGGGTTGCTGTGCTGTGTAGTCTGCTAGGTTTACAGACGTTTCAGAGGTGCTTGCTGCCTCCATCATTTGGGCGATAGCAGGACCTTTTTTGAATATGTTTTAGATTTTAGGTACCAGTTCGGCCGAAATTGTGTAAACCAGAAGCAACACAAGCACGGATACGAGAATACAGAATTTAACGGACTCGTGATTGATGTAACAGACGTGATTAACATTCGGGTAGAAAGTAATTCAGAAAATCTTGAGTGAAAAGTATTTTGATACCGAATATGCGATACAGTATCTTTAAAAATCTATCATTGTCTACATAAATAAAATAACATTCTTCTTCCGGAATTAATCTACGTCACGATGTCATGAAGTGAAATACAATACAAACTTCCGATCACGTATTTAGCATACGGTGGTGAACAATATATCGTGGAAATTAAAGTGGGATAAGGGAGATATTTCCATGCACAATTTTTACATTTCCTATTGAACGGCAGTTAATCAAACAATCCAAACTTCCGAGCATTCTATTCCATAATATCAATCACGCAACACAGAAGCTACACAACGACGATCGCAATTGAAATAATTTTTTGTTTCCTCTCTCCAAACAACAGATGTCTCTTCAGGTTAAACCAATATGAAGATCAATACAGAATGACGTTTATCAGAATTCAACAATTAAAACTAGTAAGTACTCATCATCTCTCATGTTACTGCTAGAAATTATAAATGCTTTCATCAGTAATTTCAAATCAAAACGTACAATATTTGTAAACAATTGGATATACAGACGGACGGACCGGCATGCGTTTCTTATCACGCGTTCCTCCATCGAATTAGTAAGAAATACATAACCTAACCTAACCTAATATAATCTAACCTAAACTAGCCTAACCTAACCTAAACTAACCTAACTGAATAGACGGAGGAGAATACTCTATGATAAACAAATAAGTTAGTTGCTTAAGTAATTAAAAAAATTATAGAATTCAGAAGTTCCGTGTTAAAAATAACTCACCACCAATATTCATCGTGAGCTACACGAGAACAGTCCTGCTTCTTTAATAGACATTTTAACGTTTTCTTCAAATTTACGCTTAGATCTTGTAAATGGTCTCTTTCCTACGCATCTTCCAACCAGAATCCTGCCTGCACTCAACATCTTTCGCACAAATTCCGTCCACCTCATTCTTATCGATCCGATCATCCTAATAACAGATTCGGTGAAGAGTACTAATTATGAGGATCTTCATTATTCAATTTTCACGAGTCGCCTGTCATTTCCTCTCCTCAGCGCCTGGCCTCAAACACACTTATCTCTTAATGTGAGAGATAAAGTTTCACATTCAAGCAAAGAAACAGATAGAATTCTAAAACTTTATGTTTTAATCTTTATACGTTTTAGATTCCAGATGGGAAGACAAAGTATTATAAATTGCACGGTAGGAAGAATTTCCATAATTTAATCTGCTTCTAATTTATTCGTGAAAGAAATTTTGATTTGTTACAAATTTTCCCAAAAATTTGAACATTGCCGTACGAAATACCTTAGCAGTCAATGCGAAATACAAATGATGTTTTAATTCAGGCCTTACGTTGATTTGTGTAATTAATATTATAACATATTTCAGAATTTAAACTAGCCCAGGATAGTGTCCAACAGAGGAATATTTTGAACACTGTAATGAACCTTATGTTTTCGTAAAATATTGCTGAGTGATTAAAAATGTTTTTCGAAAGACAAAGTACCATTTGTCACTTATAGTATATTATCGCAACAAATACGTAATAGTTTTTTTTTATTTTCAATGCATTAAGTAAATTTCCGAACAAGATTTCAAAACTGGTTCCTTCCAGATCCTGTCCAATTCACTACACATAACCAGTGAACCATTCCAATCGGAGTAAAGTAACCTCTTCAAGAGGTGGGAAAGATAAAAATTACACGTAAAATTCAGACCTAAACCCTTAACGGGAGGAGACGATTTGGGACTTTGGCGTTGAAGTTAGAATAATATTTAAACGAATCTTAGTGAAATAAGTGGAAAGTTGTGAACTTCATTCATATTTCTTAGGATAGAATCCAGGGACTGGTTCTTGTGAACAAAACAATATACCTTCAGGTTCCTTAAAAAGCGGGGGAGTATTTTGACAACATAAGCAACTATAAGCGACGCAAGGAACACTCTCTTCTAAAGGGTTATCTTTATAATGGCAGCTATAATCGTGTTAAACAGTTGATTAAGAAATATGAATGACATTCTGAAGTTCTTTCGTGGTTTTCGTAAGCCTCTTCATGCGAATGCTGAAGTAGCTTAAGACACCGTCCTTCCAAATACATACCATGTATCTTATTTAACTCTGTATATCATCTGACGTTGAAACAAAGCCGTCCAGTAACACACAAATAATCAGAGATTATAAAATTAATCTTGGCTAATTCATTTGTATGAAATGCTGGTATAGATGTCAGGATTACTGACGTAGCTTCGATCTCGAACCTTTAAAAAGAGAAGCCAGTCTCATCGTGCCCTGAACAGCTCTCTTGGTTCATTAGAGCAACATCACACAACAGGTAACTGGACTCCAATTACTACGAAAACATAACATCGTGCGCTTCGACGAAATGTACTGTGAAGCGATGATGCTGTTATTTCTGTCCGTAAAAGTCTGGAGACCGTATATAAAATCCTATCAACGGCCGTAATGCATTAAAAAAATATAATAAAAACAAGCAGCTGTGTTGAAATGTAATTCATCCTCTTTTTACAACGCAAAAACAGAGTGACTTACTGAACAATATTGAATAGCTTACAAAAACACAACACAATTCCAGCATTTACAATAGAACTCATCCCATTATCAGGTTATGAAAGCGGTCTCTGAATCCAGACATATGAAATTACATAAAGGGATACAATCTTTGTTCCTGTATTTTATGTTAACCGCATTACAATATCGCTCTACCGTTTCTTGTATACTGAAAAGTAATTTTGGTAGCGGCAATTGTGTTTTGTAATAATATATATCTGCTCTTCCCTAGCCTCGTAATAATTACCATGGTTAAAGTTACAAAGGGGAGAAAAAATTAACATCGTTCACGTCGTTGGTGGAGATTTAAAGAATATGGCATTTGCGTCCAGTGCCAGAAGGTAGAGGATCAATAATTTTAAAATTAGGTTCTCGGGATGATATTCTAATGCCTTGGTGTTCTGATCGTAGCTGGTATGGGATTGATGTGAAATGTAAATAAATGTTCGTTGGAAAATATGAAAGAAAGAATCCATTTTGAAGACTTGAGGGCAGATGGGAGCATAATGCAATAATAAGCATCTCAGCGGTTTCAAATATTTACGTAACAAAAAGTGAATGGCTTGCATAAATGAAACTTATACCACTTTAAAGAGAACTTCGAAAGTTGTCTTGTTATTCTAGTGGAGTCCAACGCATGTTCAATTTGTGGCTCTGCACACATCGAACCGACGCCCTGTCTCTTGCCAGACACTCGCCTTGTCAAAAGTTGAAGTTACGTAATTTATCGTGTATGCCACAATCTTTTTCAGAAGTTATCCTTCTAAAGGAGTAAGTTTCATTTTTGTGAACCGCTTATTTATTTATTGTTAAACACATATTTGAAACAGCTGAGATAATTTGTTTCATTCTGCATTAAACCGGATCTAATGAAATACAGTTTGAGGATGTGGAGTTGATTTGTCCATGGGCTGTACAACAAATTAAGCTAGTCAGTCATAACAAATTAAACAGATAAAACATTTTTCCACTGTGCTTACCCCTGACATCGAGATACACTGCATGACGGTCTGTGCCTCTCTCGTTTTGCACTGCGAGGTAGTAATTACGAGAGTCTGCAGGATCGACTTCTCGTACGTGGAGTCTCGCCTCGTAGCAGTCTTCCCGCTCAACCTGCACAAGTGTATTAACTAGTAAGTGACAAATAGAAAGGCAGGTATGAAGGCAGATTGATAAACATAGAAGCAGACATACAGATATTTCAAAACTCTACACATCTGCGATTTGATGATCCCTCGAATCAGTAATCAGCGCTGTCCGCCTCGAAACAACATTGACCGACAGTCACGTGTTCACCAGACGCGTTGTCAGTTGCTCTGTTTTTTCAGCGAACCACCTGACAATTTGTTCCGCCACTAGCCTACTGGAATGTACTGTGACTGTCAAGGACATGCAACTCGACGCTTCCACGGTTGGAGTTCAAATTACATTTTTCCGTCCGGGCCGGGGTTTGGTGAGGCGTTATTCGCAAGTCACGACGCTTCAATAACGAGATTAGAAGCCAGAAGACGTCACTTGCCTGCGCTAGTTCCTCTGCTTTGTAGCGACCCTGGTCCGCTCCAGCTTCCAGCTGTTGGCTTCCCCATTCCCAGGCGGCTCGTCGCGGTCTCGGGTCTGCACACACCACCAATCGCAGCAGAGCGTCCTGTCCGCGAGCCACCACCACCTCTCGGCCCCCAGACTGCCGCAACACTTGCGGGGCGCCTGCAGAAAGAATGAGACTAAGTTATGTGTAGAATACGTGATGCATTTCACGACTTCGAATTTACATTTGTATCCCTGCAGAAGTGCGTTTAGACTACACGCATTACACAAGTGACAGAGAAGTTGCCTTACGAACGAGGCGCTGGGCGAAGTAGATATATGTAGGCTATAAGGCTACGTATATTACAATGAAAAACACACGAAATCAATACAAACTATAGACTGTTCGAAAAGTCTGAAACCAATGCTTTAGGATTAGAATATCGTACTGAGATTATTTAAAGTGTCGGTGGTGATAGAGAAGTAGTAGATAGTTTTAGCAAGAACCATTCCGGGAAAAATCCTGCTACATATAATGTCTTTGAAAAACTAAAATAAAAAAGTGGTTATGTAGAAAACAAACTACATTTGCCGTACTAAAAAAGTAAGAAAGGTCGCAAAATTTCCACAAAACATGTGCGTGGCAGTCTGTACTAAGAATCAGTGACTATTTTCACGGGCTACGCTAAATCGCAGGTTTAGTGTCCAAGAATTTCTTTGAATCATATCCATCAGAATACTGAAGTAGGCTGTAAAGCGAACAACACACACACACGCTAAGAATAATTAATCATTTTATTTCGCCTGTAAACATAACTTGAGGTAGCCAGAGAATTTTTTTTTTTAGTGTTCTGTCTGACGACAGGTCCATATGAACAGGACCCTTCCATCCTTTTCTCGAACTGGGACCTGTTCATATACGTTCTTGGCAGATAATCCAGAAGTGGTTTTCCATTGCCTTCTTCTGTGTGTGAATGGAGTAATTGTTGGGATGCCACGGAGAAACCGTGTTGCCTAGACCACGGCCTTACCGGAGGATATACATAAGAAATAGACCTATTATTAAACAGAAGTGAAACGTAAATAAATTCAAATTTTGTCAGATGGCATACTGATATATCTGACATAATATTATTCTAAATACCATATAAAGAGAACTAAAATGTCTAGCAACTATACCCGGAGAAGAAAGTTCGAAGAAAGAGGTAGCAAACCCGAAATGGGTTCCTGCGTCTACGGAAGCTGCTTTCTGTCCTCAGAGATCCAATCTCTACGCAGTCGGCGAACTTCTAATGTAATGAAACCATTCAAGGGCCATGCGAAATAAACTGAATACTCCAGTCGGTCTACGAAGAGAGGCCATAACCGAAAGAGACTGCTATGGCGACCAGGCAAATTCCAACAACTCGATGCAACGATTTGTAGGTCATTTAACAATTCTTTTCAATTGCTTGTTTAGAGGAAGACTAGCTTAGTATGGTCCGTCAAAGTTAAAACAATCAACCTCTTTTGTGTTGAACAGGAATACAATTAATTGCAAAATTATCTTTGCAAATAGTGTTGCAAGCACAACATTTATGCCTTTTCGTAATGTAAATTAAATGTGAAAACATATTCACGGCGACTGAAGCCTAATTCCTGTTCAATTCAGTTACACCAAACGAAAGCCTGACTCCAAACTTCAGACTTCAGACTCCCAATAAAGGTAGACTCCGCCAGACCCCACCACAGGCGCCTCCATGCCCTCATATGCACTTCATACTACCATTGTCGTTACAGTAAGGACTTAATCTGAATTCTTTCTACGCCGTTCGGCGAGTCAACCATGACGGATACTGGCTATTATAATAGAGGCAGATAACTGAATGGTGAGCCGGGAATAGTTTGAAAGAAAACTGTCGAGATTTACTTCGCTACATTCGCCGACTAAACTAAAACAAAGTAAGAAACCTCAGCCAGGATAGAAAATATCTTAGACAAGATTCGAAATCTCTACATCCCGAATATGAATTAGGATGCTAACCACTGTACTGCGACATACATGTGAACTAAGTGATAAGGTATTCTAAGTGCAGGATCTGAGCCCAGCAGGTTAGAATTGAACTCTGCCATATTTTGACGTCAGAAAAACTTCGGATTGTTGAAGTTCCGTTAGCTACTTCACAGCCATTAAATTTACCCCGGATGAAAGTTAACCGATTTGATAACACGCAAAGAATATTTTGTAATTTATTTTATTTTTAAATATTTACCTTATTTTACATAGATAAATGATACACAAAATGGGGTATTAGACTATACCAACGGGTTAAGAAGCAGGAAGTGAAAACAACTCTCGTTTGCACACAAGGTAGTTAAATGAGACATTAAGCGAGAAATTAGTGTCATGTTTGTCCGTATATCTGCCATAATGACCCCCTTCCTCCCCAAAGCACGTCACTGTGACAGACTGACACCAGAGATCGCTTTATTGAGACACTACAAGAATGTCACTAATGTGACAAACTAGACGTATTCGTACTGTTTAAAAATTCAGTGCACGTTCTATGAGAACGATGCGTGGTTGAAATAATAAATTGTTACGAAGCGTTTAAATTTATTACCAAATATAATGACAGCTTAACTAAGAAACGAAGGTGAAGTAATAGAAACATTAAGGTAATTGAATAATCTACGATGATAGCATTAGGCAATATTATTTTTAGAAAAAAGCATGTTGGTACATAATGAGAATATTAATAATTTACTCTGCTCACATAATCCGTATTAAGAAGGTGTGTGTGTGTGGCATGGAGGAAATTCTTCGACTGTGTACTAGATGCAAGGGAGTAAACATAACTAACTCGTTTATCCAGAGAAGTGGTAATATATTTTGAATTGTGTTTTAATGATTTCGTTTCGTTTTCTCAAGTCTGAATTACAGATTCAGCAAGAAGATTCATAGCACGTCGACTTCTGATGTTTGGACGATGGATGAAGGAGAAGGAAGAAACAAAATTATGATAAGGAGGAAGTAAATGGCCTAGAATAGAAGAACAAGCCTATGACAGCTCACAAACAAGGGGATCAGTAGAATCTGGTACAAAGTAATACTTCAAAACTGAGAGTTGGAAAGGAGGATGAAATGAATTAACTAGAAAATAAGTAGATGGGTTAAACTATCAAAGCAGAAGTAAAAGACAGCCTTGATTTGGAGTTCGAACACGGAACTCGGGACTAAAAACAAAGAGTTAACTACGCGTGTCTCTCAGACAATACTTGTGGATCTTCTATTAATAAATAAATAGTAAAATGCACGACCATATTTGAAAAGACAAGAGGCCGGTTAACATATTATTTACTGATTACAAACAAAAGTTGAATGTTTTAGAGTTGGTATATATTTGCAGTAATGATGACAAATTAGAGAAAGATGATGAGAAACAGCGAGAAAACAAATACTTTTGAAACTATCCCCACAAGCCCTCAACGACATTCATTGTATGTTATCCAGTACTTTCTCTGTATGTAGCGTACCGTGAAGAAGTAGGAACATAAAGAAGAAAAGAGCAAACAAGGATAAATTACATAATTTTAGTAATCAAGAGGCGACTTACCGACGACTTGAACAGAAATGGCGTCACTCTGTACAACGCGTTCCACCCCGGCTATCATGTTTGTCGCCTTGCAGACATATTCGCCCTTGTAGTCATACGTGACATTGTTGATATGGAGCCTTGCGTCAGAACCCCTGATGAGAACAGTGCCCTCTGCAGTCGGTAGTTTCTGCAGCCACTGGTACGTGGGTGTAGGATTGCCCTCGGCGGTGCAACTGAACGTCGCCTGCGAATACAGGGGTGCCGTCATTACCCGGTCGGGGCCGACGTCTACAATCTGTGGAGGATCTGGAAATATGAACAGAAAGATAAAGTTGAGCGACAGACTGATCAGATCCCTTCACCTACGTTCTTACTTCAATAATCGTTCTTCTCCTTGAATATGCACACGATAAAGATTGTGTTATTCAGACGCCACAAGTAATTAAGCTGAGAGACGACCAGAAATTCCGTTTTCACTCATCTCACATAATCACGAATAGAATAGCCAGTGCTTCTAAGCTAGATACATCGTCCATAGCATGGAATTTTTATAGTGGCAAAATGATGGGACGTACTGTACAAAGCTTCTCCTTCCTTGACACCATATTCATTTTTCCATTGTTGGCTTTCAGTATGTTGCTACAAGTGGTGACCAAGTGATGACGTCCTATACTTTTCATCTCAAGTGAAGGCAATGAAACTATTTAAATTTGGAAATGACTGGGTAATCATGCTTAACCAACAAATCTATCTACCAAGATTTCTGTCTTCTGGATTGTTGCGCTGTGTAGTATGGTAGGGTGATGACGGAGGCAGTATGACCTCTGAAACGCAACAACCCAAAAGACAGAAATCTTCATACTCACCGCTGTGAAAACCTCAAATCATACAAATCTATCTACATTTGACCTTACTCTCATTCTGTTCATCCGTCTATTTGTTAGTCAGTATCATCAGCCAGCCAGTCTTCTCTATCATTATATATACCAGTCTCACCAGCCGATGTGTTTACATAGCTCGCCTAGTGTTGTTAAATCTATAAAAGTTGTCTTGACACGTCATTCAGAGAGGGTAAAAAGAAACACGCGGTCTTTCTGGGCACATCAAAATCGGAGTTTATTCTTTCGAGTACACTGAAATTCCAAAGGTTTCTTTCAAGCTACGACACGGGAGTTCACATAAGCAAATTACTTCATTAACCACGGCTCAAAGAAACTATAAAAATAGATCACTTTTACTCGAGAGGAATGACAAAGGCAACAGTGGCTCCCGAAGTCACTGTTGCGAAGTGATCTGAGGTCAATGCGAGCCATTAATGACCTCGGTTCCCACTGTTGCAACACTGTTCTAGTAATGACCCCGGGCCATGCAGGTTGCCTAGTTCCTGGGAAAACACGACAGACACGGACAGGCTAATAAAGTGTCCGTCGCTAGGGCGTGAAGAATACCCAAAAACGTGCCCATGAAAGGCCGAAAATCAGTTACGAAAGAAACATTAAGATGGACGTTGGATGGATTCAACTCAGGATCGTGTATAGTGGCAAAGAGGTCGGTATTAACCACTAGTATAGGACAAACTATGTATATCAGCAACAAATTACTCATAAAATATATATTTAGAATAAACATAACAAATACAAAACAGTCACATATGAAGCAAGGAAAAGTTAGACTAAACACACATATGATGGAATCGAAACTAAATTTGATACCACCAAAAGGGAAAGAAAAACAAAATTAATGCAGAATGGAAATATAAAGCTCACGCAGATTTCAAAATAAACGCAATTGAATGATTTTCACTGTAACGAAGATCAGTTGAAACAATCCTGTCACTACAGCTCGAGATGTGTAGGTAGCATGTTCCTATGTTATATGAGCCAAATGCCATTATCCATTTGTTCCGAAACAATTCGAGAGATAGCTGGTGTTAATACTGCATTACTTTGAGAACTCGAGATGATATTGTACATATTGTATTTCCAAGCTCAATTACATGCATTCCATTAAACTTCAGAACATATGGTATCAGAGAATTATATTCGTTATCGTGATTCATTAAAAAAGAACACATTCTCTAGATATAAGGAATTCGCACCGAACCATGTGACTAACGTAACGTCTAGCAAGGTAATGAAAGTGAAAGTAATTTCCAGATGCATAGTTTCACAGGACTGTCTCGTCTTGTTCAAGGTAGAAGTCAAGTTTAGTGACGTGACGGTTTTCTGAACTTTACAGCTAAGTCATGGAGATTACGTTAAAATAAAACATTTTTTAACAACTTAGGTTTTCAGTTAACAAACAGCAAATGAGAGTTTATGTTAGCAATTATTTTGATCTTAAAATGTAACCTTCACTGATATATTAAATTACAATTATGGCTTACGTTGTAATTTGAAAACGTTGAACATTATTAAAAATGATTAAAATAATTCATAAAATATCGTCAAGTTATGTTTTTGCATATTAAGGAATAACTCGTATTTTCAGTGTGTAAAAATTATTTTGTAAACAACATTTTTTAAATTATTATGTAATCGTGATATTTTTTTAAAAATTGCTTTATTACAGTACAGTATGCAATTTAAAATTATACCAAAAAGAGTATCCAAATAAGTAAAAATAATATTCTTTGTAGTTTGTAGTACACATTTCGTATCATTTCATCCCTCTTTGTCTTTTGCCATTCTCTACCCTTCTTATATTGTCCTTCTTTTTGGATTTGTATTCTTTTAATTATCCTATTTCTTTTCTTTCATCTTCCTTATTCAACTATAACGTGGCTAATAGCTTCAGAGAATTTCTGTATGTTCACTCGCAGCGAAAGCTTCAAATCGACTTGACATAAGATTGTGACTAAATTCAACCAACTGGCTTCTTTGAAGCTCGATATTTGTTTAGCCCTGTATGAAAATAAAATCCCTACATTTACTTATATTTTTATGGTTACCAAGTATACAATTTGTAACTACTTGTACTTTTGTTTATAAGTAACACTGGTTTTAGCTTGATTTTGTACTTATTTATTTTACTACCACGAAGTTTCTCAAGTATGACAGAGGAAAAAGTCAAATACTTACCTTGTAGAGGCTCTTGCATGAAGGAAGAACAAGACTTACAGTATACAGCTTACATTAGAAACACAATCTTCATTATTTTCTGTTGGATCCAAGGCCTCTTTAAAGTTAACAGATATTTAGAAAGAATAAACACACATATTCGTGTAACCGTTCACATCGCTGGAAAGTAATGTCATAAAACATAAACTGCTACCTCGTGTCACTGTATTGTGAACTTTAAGGAACCGCGTTTTGGTTTCTGATGTGATAACAGCCTAAGAATAAGTGGGCCTAAACGAGCAATTACCTTTTCCATGATAATCCTACATCTTATAATATTTCAAAGAAAGTTTTAAATCCAGTCGTCCTTTTAATGGATGTCTAAGTAACATTGTACTATGCAAATTTCAGAGACAAATTTATGTCTGGAACACATTTATTTACTGCTTTTACTAATTTCTGATACGTTTCTGACAATAAGACTGTTTCTGAACCAACAAACGGGAGAGTAAAGTGAAGAGAAACATTTTCCAATGCGAATGCAGAACAGAAGCAGATTCTATTCCAAATAGGGCACAGAATTGTTAGAATGGTAACAGAGGCGGTATGAGGGTTTCATCTGTTTGTGTTGAATGCTTCTATTGCGTTGTGAAGAGAGGGAGTCATTGTTCTTATCTCGTTTACACACACAGCCAGTTGCGCTTATTACAATACTGTAATGTTTAATTTGGTCACACTTCTCTTGTGTTCACAGTTTTAATCTATGAGTTTATTAGTACAGCCCGTGAAACTGAAGATTCATGCCATCGTTCAGCCCGGAAGATTGTCCAGACATAAACACAGAGAAAACAAGGCAGTTCTGTATGCTCGTGTCTCATCACCAGAATGAAGGATAAAATCGTAATGTAAAGGTAGTTAATAACTAATTTGAAAATATGAAAAACTTCATATATGTACGTTTATTTGGTAAAGATCACAACGGATTATATTTATGAGTAAATTAAAAGCAGCTTAAATTCTAACACTAATATAAAAATGTGAATATGAAAATAGGTAAAAATGGAACTTGATAATATGTTGCTTTGCATGGGCGTGAACTGAAATACCAATTTAAAAGAAGGATGCATATTGAGGGAATTTAATAACAGGGGGCTAAGAAGACTATACGGACCTAAGAAGGAGGAAATAATGGGGAAGAAACCAAAGGAGAAGAAAATCAGGTAGGGAAATAGGAAGATTAAATTTTACTCTTCAAAATGAAATTATGAAGTCTCTGTCTCAAACGCCTAATTTAATACAAATCGAAGCTGCTGATTTCGGATGGACATGACGAAATTAAAGATGTCTTTTCCAAAAGGTTTCTAAGTTAATTTATGAGACTATAACCTAAACTGTAATCTTCATTTTACTTTCAAGAGCTTCTTTTCTAACATTCACATTTACTGCATAGCATCGAGAACAATAATTTCGAAATGCAATGCCGATTTACAGATTAATAATCTTTCAATGAAAGCATGGCAAGAGTCTCATTTACAAATTTTGCCACTTTTAACGCACCAGTATAAGTAAATTATTTTAATGAGAAGTGGATAATTTCAAAAGTTTTTGGCGTCACATGTCCAGAATTCTATTGCCTATAGGTAATCAAAAGTTAGGGGCAATATGTATGAGTGGATGTAATATCCCCGCTGTGAACAGTACCACCTGGCGGAACTACACCCCTCCATCAACTTTGAAACCGATGGAAATGGGCCATAATATTTGAACGCTTAGCTAAATTAGTTCCCGACAAGCTCCGGAGAAATATCATCTAATATAGACGGCACTGGGCTGTGTTTGAAACTGAGAAATGCCAATGGCTGCGTTTGAAATTACGTTACTGTACAATTATCTGACAGGGAGATAATTATAATTAACGATTTCTCACACATACACCTAATATGTGGTTAGTCGGGATAACTCGGTATGTAACTAATTAGGTTACAAAGAGAGTGATCATGCATCAAAGATTAAATAACTAAATGTTTTACTAACGCAAAGAGAAGTCTCGACATATAATGTACATAACATGAAACATGCATTTAGTAGATTATAATACATACACATACATCTTTGTTGTAAAATGAAATAAAAAATCAGTTTTCTATCTTACACCCTAGACCAGGGATTCTCAGCCTTTTTCACTGGCGTACTACTAATTATAATTTAACATATTAAATGTACCACTCACCAAATGTGTTCAAGGAA